TGTCTTTGTCCTCGCGTTCGCTAATTTAATCTCCTCAGACTAGGTGTTTTTCATAAAGATTTTCTAGCTCCGTTCACTATTAAATCCCTTCCTGTGCATGTGTACGTGTGTGTGTGTGTGTGTGTGTCTCATTGCGCGAGGAGCACAGAGGAGCGTCTCGTAAATTTAGCTCCGCGGCCGTGACGTTTCGTGCCATCATATTTCTAAGCGTTTAAATATCGCGAGAAACGAATGACTATAAATTCTCACCGCGAGAACTAATTCCTATATAAATTTATGCCTTATTAACAAGTTTGTACGATGTCAAACATTTAGAAGGCGCGTACGAAAAGGGACGAGTTTTATTTTGCATTTTTTTATAAATAATAGCTGCAAGTATTATTAGCAAATTAATTTCTTTTCTAAGTAATTATATTTCATATTCATGTAACTGATCCATTTTTTGGAGTAAATATTTATGTAGTAATATATGAGAAGTCACATTTTATGGTGAGACACAATGATATATCTTAACAAAAATGCTATTACAATTATGGTATATGATACAATTATATATATAATTTTTAAAGCATTTTTAAATATTTTTTGTGTAATTTTAGTATTGCTTTTTATACATTTACTACTTTGTACATTTTGTTATTCCTTTTATTTTTGCAAGCAGTATTTTAATATTAATAATAGATAAAAAATGTAACAACTTGAAAGACTTCAAGTTGATACATTATCTATCATTTATCTATTATAAATTTATTTTGTGATATGTAAAGCTAATTGGGATTTTCTTTACAGAATGGCTCAGCGTCCTCAGAACTATGGGTCTACGGATCAACGGGTGGATGTACCTGAAATAGGATTTAGTCCTACTGAACTTTATAGTCTCTGTGAAAATATTACCACTAACATATATACGATTAATGCAAGTTGGAAGGTTATGGAAAGAGCTTACAAAAATATCGGAACCAGCAAGGATAATCAAGGTTTGAGAGACAAAGTGTAAGTACAATACAAATGTACAATAATTATAATAGTAAGAATTATGATAGTAGGAATATATACAGAGATCTATATAATATATTTTAAACCAATGCAATCCAATTTAAATTTTATATTCCTACCTTTTCAGACATGTAACACAATCGAGTACTAATCAGGTGGTCACGCAGATAAGCAAGGATATAGCGAGACTAACGATGCTGATGAGACGTGGGGACAAACAGCAAAAATTACAAATTGAGAAACTCACAACAGATTTTAAAGATGCATTACAGAGATATTCCGATATGCAGAAGGTATGCGATATGAGATATGTCTCTAATAGTTGTTTTGTTTACAAAGAATTTATAATCGTGAAGCTTTCATTTTGTTTTAAAATTAATCACGAGGTATTCTTTACAGTCAATTGTTGAGAAGATGAAGAGACATATTTTAACTATGACCAATATAGAAAATTCAATGGATGGGGATGACGCTGAAGAGACACACCGCCTACTTTTAGTACAGGAACAAGAGCACAAGGCTACACAAAGGTTTGGAAATAATATCTTTTGCATTCCCAGAAAGTAATGGAGTATGTGTGCTCACAAGTAATGCAGAAAATCTTACCTATTTGCTTAGTTGGAACAATAGCAATGGTTTTCGTTCCATTTTGGACAATGCTGTAAGCATAGAAGCTCTCGTGATTGTATCGGCTAATGGAGATTGTAAGATTTTCTGGATGAGATAGCAATAAAACTTGTGGATTTTATAGCATGCTCGTGACACAAAAAAATAGAACTTAAAATTTCAGTGAAAAGATTAATTACTTACGCGACATGTATTATTAATATAGAAAACTTATAAAATATGTATGGTAAGTCAGTTTCAATGTATCTTGTAACAAAAAATGACATATTCTGAGCCTTTATATTAGAAACAACATGTGATCAGTGTGTATTACGGCATGTACAGGACACTCGAATTTCAACACGGGCTACTCTTAGAGAGAGAGGATAGGATAAAACGTATTGAGGGTGATATTTTGGATGTGAATCAAATTATGCGCGAACTCGCGGCACTGGTGCATCAACAGGGTGATACTATTGGTAAGCATCCTCTTTTCGCTGCTAATAATCTTATAGATAACAGTTGCAAATTTTCTGTATAATATGACGGAAAAATTGTAGAATATAAAACACAGTCTTCTAATCTAAGTTTTTCAATTTAGAATATTCAATTTAACCTTGTTACAAAATACACACGCTTAATGGAATTTAATAATTTTTTTTTTTTTAGATACAATTGACAACCATATAGAGAATATACACGGCAATGTCGAGCTAGGAGCGCAGGAACTGGAGAAGGGAAGTAATTACCAAAGTAAATTTCGTCGGAAAGTTTATATCTTGTTGTTACTTGCGATTACAGTTGCCATTGTATTAACTGTTATTCTAGTCATTAAATTAAGTTAGCGACTCTAGCCTTTGCGCGGGTCTTACTGATTAACGAAAAGGGTTGTCTCAATCTGTCTCATATGTTGTTTGAAAGTAGTTTCTTCAAGGACCATCTCGTTTTGCCCGTTTCTGTATATTGGAGATGTAACAAGGAGAGTATAGAGACTTATTTTATATCTGCTTACCAATGGAATTGTCTCCTGTATTTTTGGAGATGTTATAGCCATTTTGAAATTTTATAAAACAGTATTTAATAATTTCACATGTAAAATATGAATTTTTATAGGCTTTTTTAAATTCTGTTTTTACTCTCTAGCTGAATTATTATTGAATAAAATATTAGAACATCAGAATAAAGGCTAAAATAATGCCTTTATCATTTCTCACATGCCTATCTTGTAATATACAATATAGTTATTTCAAATAATATTCATTTTCTATATTATTTGAATATGAAAGATTTCGTATTCTAAAAATAAAAAATTCTCTTATTTATCATAAGTATTACTTTAATATTATACGTAAAAAAATTTTTAGTATCATATGCTTCAATAGCTTTAAACTACTCAATGGTGATACAAATATTCGTGTCAATAACAGTGTAATCAGAAATTTGTATTATTAATTAATATCGGTTTATAGTTTGAAAACATATATTGTTGCTACTATTGGTTGTATATCAACTTGACTGATGCGTTTCGTTAGCAAGATCTATCTAGATATATCTAATATTGCATAAAAAAAGAGAGAATTATATTCTATACAAAAAATTTATAAACAGATTTATAAATAGGTAGAGAATGTACGTTTCGCGAACATGAAACTGCACAAGGAAAATGTTATCTATTTATTGTCGCCATATGATGAAATAATATTATCAAAACGTACATATAATTATAATCAAACTGATACAAAATTTTGCGTATACATATTTTTATCTTATTTGTATATTTGTTATTTTATGTTTTCGTATATTGGTCTGAATAAAAGTTATTACATATATGAGTACTAATTATGATTAATAAATTGCTGTAATGCAAAGAAAGCCAAATTTAGATAGACGAAAATTATGAGCATTATAATTAGCACTATAATTGGCATATAATCAATTAGAAAAATACTCTTGTAATAAAATTGTATTATTGACTTGGTTAATGATTTAAATTATGTATATATAAATACACACACACATACACATGTTTTCTGAATAGCAGTATCATTTAAATTGTTTATACTTTGTTATACATTTAAATTTATATTTTTATCCTTTGTAATAAATATAATTACAATTTTATTGGAAGTTTTTTTCATACAATATGTAGGTGCTAATTAATTTTTTGCAAATAATAATTTTATATTATTTTATCATGTTATATCTATGAAATAATTTTCACAATAACAGAAATATATTTTTAAAAAGATGTGTATTAAATTTTATAGAAAATAGAAAAAATAATTTTTAGAGGATATTGTAACCTAACAAATATATACAGAGTATTATCGTTGTACGTAACTTAAATTTTTATAAGTTTTCGGATATTATTGTGACATAGATTATTTAATCATGCTATTTTATAATTTATATTATTAAAGAAATGCCGTCTGTATTTGAAATTATGTACTGTCAGACAAAAATTTGATTGAGACAGCCACTTTCCTACGATTACCCGATTCTGATATGATTATTAGGCATTCCGAATCTTAAAAATCCAACGTATAATAATTAAGATTATAATCTGAATATTGTATATACAATTAATCATATTAACATCATTTAAATAAATAGTGCTATGATATTGATATCGATACTTACGCTTAATATCAAGTATAATAGCTTTATTATCGTTGTTGATTTGTATGTGCTAAATTAATATTAGGCATTAAATTATGTTTTGTTCTTTGCAAATAAAAGTTTTTTTATACCCTGTATATGATATGTGATTATATAATATATTGATTTATACCAAGAAATATAAAAGTACATTTAAAATATACAATCTTCAGTATTGTAAAAGCATGGAAAAGCATAAGTGTGTAAAGAAATACATACAAATCAAAGATATCCATATTTTTTATTTGACTTTTCCAAATTACTAGTAGAAAAATAATATCAGCTTAAATGTTTTATTATTCTTTACGTCCAACAATGGATCTTTTATTATACATTACATAACTTTTAACATGAAAAACTTATCTCTGTGATAAAAAATATATATTATACATACATATATGAATGGTCGAAACACCTGTTGTCAGAAAGTTTATATTTAATAATAGAAATCGATTTCTACAAAAAAATTAATATCTGTATAAAATTTTCTTATACAATCTTATTTACAAGGCAATATTTTGTGAAAGACTATTCTCGTAAAAGAAACTACTTTCATAACTTATAAAAACACACATATATAAAAAGGCACATACGTGCTGTAAAAATTTTAATATACAATGTACATACATATATATAAATATAAATACGTTCTCTTAATTCAAAAACTTTATTTAAAAAATTATTCCAATGAGAATTATATGTCTTTTTAAAATAAAATAATTTCCAATTTTGTATTAGTAACAATCTCCATACACATGTAAAATTAAATCTCAGTACCTTTTGAAATAGGAATTATATGTAATTCCTATTAATTTTATAATGCTCTTATATAATTTTATATCTTGTTACATTTATGCAAGAGCATATATATCTAAGCTTTTATTTTGTTTTGTTGTTGAGATCGTCTGGCTTTTATTCGTGATTGCAATGTGAGCAATAAGCCTGCGAGAACGTCGTGATTCGGTAACTTTTTCGCAAACAACAAACGTTTGACCGAATCGTCATAAGTCAAAAGAGCCACCATATTTTGTAACAAAAATCCTTGACAATATTCTAAGAGTTGCGCCGCATTATATACCTGTAAATTTAAACATTTGATAAATTATTAAATGATAATTTAAAATGTGCAATATTTGTATGAAAACATATAGAAGAATTTAAAACTTATAACAATTGAAGCTGGATCTTTGAATGCTTAAATAATTCAA